AAAAGAAAAAAAGGCCCTGTGAGGTAAGAGGAAGTAGGGTGGTTTCTAGCAAAAAAAGGAAAAAGCCAGTTTGGCTACTACATAGGACACAGTACAGGAAAAGAAGGAGCATGAGGGCCAAATCATACTTGTTCAAAGGGCTATGAAATTTTAAAAAAATGAAAAAAACTTCCCAAAATAATGAGAAACCATTGAAAAGTTTTAAGCAATAGAGTCACATGATCTTATTTGCTCCTTAAAGAAATGTCATGGTGACTGGGCCCTATGGCCTAGTGGTTAAGGGAACTTGATCTCATATGGCCAACCATGGGGTTCAAATCCCAACTCAGGTGGCTTGAAAAACACACAGGGGGGAACCAGCAGTTAGCGTAATGGCTATGTCGCTGGACTCCCACATAGTCGACCGCGGTTCGTGTCCCGGACCCGGTGGCTTAAAACTCACGCCGGGCGCGTGTGCGTGCGTGCCCAAGATCCCGAGAGGAGAATGGAGGAGAAGGGATTGCGGCGTGACCATCCTCCCTGGGGGGTGATTTCTCGCTTTCTGTCTCTATGTCTCTCTCTGTCTGGCGAGCGCACGCGCCCTACAGTGAAAAATCTCTCAAAAAAAAAAACACACACACAGGGCATATGTGCATGCGTTCTCTAAATCCCAACAGGATGGAGAAATGGAGGAGAAAGGATCGCAACATGACCACCCCCTTCAGAGGAGTGCTTTCTCTCCCCTCCTCCCCCAAATGTAAACACGCTTTGGTAAAAATTAAAAAGAAATATCATGTATGAACATGAGGTATTGCCAGAGAACTCAAACGAGGGTTTCTCAACCTCAGTCCTATTGATATTTGGGAAAGATAATACTTTATTGTGTGGGGTTGTCCTGTAATGGTAATAACTTTATTCGACCTCTGTTTACTAGATAGCAGTAACAAACCCCCTCCCACACAACTGACATCCAAAAATGTGTCCAGACCTTCAAAATGACCCCCGGGTGTGTGTGTCGGGGGTGAGGAGGGGGGACATTTCAAATCATTCTTAAGGGAGAACCACCGGGCTAAAGTGAGTGCAGGACTCCTCTGGTCACTGTGATAGTCATCTAGGAGAAAAGAAAGCCCGCTGGACCTGAGTGGTGGAGGTGGAGCTGGGGATAAGCAGATGGGATTTGAGAGACAAGGAGATGACATTTTTGGTGGACAGAGCCATCATAACGGTCTAGTCCTTTGCTCTCCTTCCTACTTCCTCCAACACTCTGCTTGCCCTGAGAAAGTAACCTGGTGCTGTCTCTGTTGGGAAATACTTGTGGTCAGAGAACAAAACAAGGTAACACAGGGAATATAGAGTTCATTCTCACTCTTCAGCTGTGTTCACAAAGGGCCAAGGTCTGTCCAGGGAACTGACGGAAGGTCAGCTAGACACAATGTTTCCAGGCTTATTTTTGAATGAGGGTAGATTTGGAAGCAAACCCTGAGTAGTGACAGCGATGGAGACAGGGTTCTGGAATGAGGTTCCTTCAGTCACTGCCGACAACCCTGTACTAGTGAGGGCTGCAACTGTCGAGCGTCCCAGCTATCGGCCTGCCTGTAGCAAGGGCCAGTTGACTCTTTCACTTCACCCTGTTCCCCTTCTCAGTTTTCATACGAAGAATAATAATTCTCTCTCCTTTGCCTGCCTTTAAGAAAGAATTGTGAGGAATAGTGAGTTCTCAACCCTCAAACGCTTGGAATTCATCCAATAAAGGATCCTGCCTTATTATTTATCCCTCTACCTACAGAGTACAGTTTTCTGTAAGAAAGGAAAGGTTGTGTTTTTTGCTCCTATGAAGGAAAAATAAAAACCATGGAGCTTTTCAAATCCACGTTTTATTCTTGAGTCAAAGGCACCTCCTGCCAAGTGCAATGAATAGGCTTTGTTTGAGTATCTAAAGCTATCAGAGTTCATAAAGGTCATCATTTCCTCCATGCTGAGTTTGAGAAGCCTGTCCTTTCTCTGCTTCTGACAAGCAGCTGGAACTGAATGCTAAGTCTTCATTTCGTTTTTATCCTCACTTTCTTGTTTCTGACCTAATGAATATAAGTCTCCCAGAGGCTAATTGGTCATGTCATGGTGTATTTTACTGTGAAAGTAAATAGTCACCAAGTTCCTGGCCATGTCGACACATCAAAATTTAAAGAACCATGTGAAAAACTGAAAACTTTTTTCAGGGTCAGAAGACTGCTACCTTTTCATAGATCTTCTGAGCTCTCCCCTGGATAAAGATGACCATAAACCTTCATCACAAACAACCCAGCTGGCAGCCAGGCACGGCCATGGCTAATCTTTCTTAACAGTGAGTAGAAGACTCTTCTTTGCAGTAAATTTCACTGAACGAATGTAGAAGGGATGACAGAAACTTACAAAACCACCTTGTGATAAACATCACAGTAATATTAGTTTGAGGCAAGAATAAATACTGACATTAGTAAGTGAAAATATGCTGACAAACAGGATATTTGCATAGACTGAAAGTATATTCTCACGAGGCTTACTAAATTCAAAGGGAAAGTACCACGTCTACAGTGGAGGACACTGTGATGGTACTAATATCACCAGTTCTGAAACACGACCACATCACGTGTTTCCTATGACATGCTGACCAGGACCCAACATCATTTGTGTGATACCCTTGCCAGGATGTCTAACTTTGAATGTAATCACGAGAGAGCACTAGATGAGCCCCAAAGTCACTAGAGACCATCCTATTGCCAAATTCAATAGTCATTCTTCAGTCTGTTTTGCTCAACCTGTTGGCCTGCGTAATATTGTCAAACACCCATTTTTTTTTTTTTTTGAGAGGTTTTTCTTTAGGGCACGTGCGTTCACTGGAGAAAGAGAGACAGACACGGTGAGAGGGAAAGTGAGAAATCACCCCTAGGGGGATAGCCATTCTGTAATCCTGTCTTCATTCACCTCCCAGGATTTTGGGCACACCTGGTGTGATTTTGAAGCCACCGGGTCCAGGATTCAAACCTGCAAAGTAACCACTGTCGACGGAAAAAATAACCAACTGTAAAATTAATAATTAATACTCAAATGCGGTTTATTTCCAAGCCAACTGTGAGTGACCTAGGCCCGGAGAAGAGGCATACATGCTTTTTCTCGGGGTGATCATGTACAGGGGTTCCTTTTATTTGTTTGAGATTGACAGACAACATTTAGTGAAAAGATTTTCCATTGGTCTGGCCCAAAAAGGCGGGACATGTAGAAGCTGGGGGGAGGGGGCTCGTAGGGTATAAGTAGGTTTCCCCATTCTT